TGCTCAGCGCTGCTCGAGCCTGAGGGAGGTTCTTTACTTTTTTTTTTCATTTTTTTTCTTTTTAATTTTTGAAGGGACTGAAAAGTTCCCGCTGAAATTCAGTGAACGTTTTTAGCTCGGACTCCTGTGGAGCAGCCGCGGGGGAGGCTCTGCTGGAGACCTCGGGCTCTCTAGTGCCGAGGCGTCGTGTCGTTCAGGGGAGCCCTGTCTTTCTGCTGTCTGCTTGCTCAAAGGTCAGAAGTGCGGTGCAGTTTGGAATAAGTTCTGCACGTGCAAACTAAGCAGTACATTACTCATCACTTGTGAGTAAGCGTCACTTGCTGTGACTAAGAGTTGCAAAATAAGGTATCTTTGGTGGCACACGTGGAGCATGTATTTGTTTAAACTCAAACTGCAGAAATAAACATTTCACGGTAACTTTTAGTTAAGAGCAGTTGCTTAGCCGTTGCCCTTTCACAGTCATGGGGATCAATACTAAGCTTGTACTGCATGCTCTAAGAATCAAAAACTTTTGCTCCTTTTTTTATATTCATTTAACTAATGCTGTTCCTTTAAACAACTTTATTTTTACCTCACTGCTGTGACAAGCTTTGAAAAAAGACAGGATTATCAAAAGCACTTTATTATGTGAACTTAGCTTCTCTCAGGCTTTTAATGTTTAGTCTTGCACTGCGGTTTATATCATAGTCAGCACAGAAATGTGTTGTTGCTTATGTAAGATAAGTGATGAGGTTTAAGAACCGCTTTCATATTTTCCAGAAGACTGATACTGCTGAATCCTGTGTAAGACTGGGACTGAAACCGGTGGTGCTTCTGGCATTGTTAATTAGCAGCGTAGAGAACACTGTACTAACCTTGGGGTTGACTCTTTCTCATTGTATCCCTTTATATGATTGCTGTCTCCTGGGAGAAGATGGCATGAACTGCTGCTGGGACTCGGTCCCTCTGCGGGAAGGTCGCAGGAGCATGTGTTCTGCATGTCTCTAGCCTTATCCCTGTGCTCTGAGGGAGACTTTTCTTCTTCATGTAGCACTGGCTATTTTTCTCTTTCTTGTTAGGTTAATTAAATAGGGTAAATGAGTTACTTTGAACTATCAAAGGTCAGGCAAACGTAAGTGATTGCTCTTCGTTCTTACTTTATATATATTTTAGCGTGAACTTTTCATTAATGGGTTTTGAAATGCTCCGTAGTAACTAAATTAGTGGAGTTTTTTTTCCACTTTGTTTTGTGCTTTCAGTTCTTTCTGTGTATTGAACTCTGTCTGATCTGTTTGATATGGTAATAACCCTTAGAGCAAATATTAAAAAAAAAAAAAAAAGAAAAGAAAAAAGAAAAAGAAAAAAAGACTTAATTCTGTTCTTATATGGCTGGAAACTTCTGTTGATTTTCAGTGAAAACAAGATCAATCCAAACTACAGTACATCTATTAAGTAAAAAAACATAAAATATTAGTGTCTGATTTTTCCGCTGACTTCAACTGTCTGCTTTATCAAAGAATGCTTTCTTTGAAGCTCCGTTAAACAGAAATGGATTTTGCCATCCCATTTAGGGGTAATTTTTTTCTGAGATAAAGACTGGAGAGGAGGTAGTCGTAATGTACAAGCTGTGTTACTTATGGCTTGTCTCTGTGTGGAAATATCCCGTTCCTATGACAGCTATTTAATAGTGTAATTTCCCTAATTCATTTAAATGCAAGAGAGAACGTTGTCACAAAATACAGGAAGATGAATGACATCTTTGAGCTTTTTCTGCCTTTATCTCTCTTGAAATGGGAGGATTTGGAATATTATAAGGAAGTATGCTGACCTTAAAGGCTAGAGCTGCTCATGGCATGGCTTCTACGCAGTCTCTGAACCGTTAGGCATGTTCTGCTTCTGACCTGCTCATCCAAAGAACAGCTGATTTGTAGTGAAACTGTGCGTCTGTTGACGACCTTTGGTTTGCTTTTAATATGAAAGGTGCAGCATCTCAATCTTATTAAACACTTCCCATATACCTCTAATAAGGAATGACTACTCCTAGCGAACCTGTAGGTAATAGAATGTAGTTAAAGCTCTGTGCAGATGTGCACACAGTATGTGGGTGTGAGTGTGTGTGCATAAATTATACATATATACACATATATCTGTATGTTTATTGATATATATACATATGCATATATATGAGCACATACACAGTATTTCTCTCTCAAATTTATTTTACGTATTCAGCACAGAGAAAATTAAATCCTTCTTCCCTTCCTCAGAGTTTCTATTCACTATGTGATCATAGCATTTAACTTTGTCATTAAAGCAGATACATCTGTACCTATAACCCTTTGTAATTTAGTGGCAGACAAATTGGTTTGGATGTTTGTACTCACCTGGTCCTTTGATAGGGCAGGATCTGTGTCTGTTTTTTTCTTGTGCTTGTACAGCATCCTTTATCACAAGAAGCTGGCCTGTGGTGCTTCTGTTAACAATAAGCAAGCTATGCGGTTTATCCAAGATGATTATCCAAACTGCTATGCAGTTTATCCAAATGATTCTTATTTCTTTTTAACTTCATAGCTACTGGAGCTGATAATGACCTTTATATAAACCAAGCCGTAGTATTTATTGAAGATGCGATTAAGGTAAATATAACTTGTTTCTTAGCTATTATGCTTCCCATGCTGGATATTTGCCATACATTCTGCTCGCTTTTAGGTTTTCACATGTTCAGGCAGCTTCCACATAACATCATCTTGTTTCACAAAGCAAAATCAGAATTCCAAATTCCTGTAATATGTAAGTTTCAGTGAACTTCTACCTAGGAAAAGCATGATTTTTACACAGTAATTATATGGAAATATATAATACCTTCTCCTTAAGCTTCTCGAACAGGATGCTGGTTTATTTGTGTTGTTTAAGAGTGACTGGCCTTATTGTTACAGAAAACTATCTGAGTAAACCCTATAATTTGCCTCTAAACGCAGCTACTTCCGTAATTTAAGAGTTGGTGCATTTTGAGGTTAGCTTCAGGCAAGACGCTGGAATTTTGTTGCTTTGTCTGCGCTTGCCACCTCTGGAAGCCTTCCTTCATCCTCCTTCACCTCTACTGGCCTTTATTGCATATTCCAAGATCCTGTTACCTTCCTGATGTTAGCCCCAGGCAGTAGGAATGCTGGAAGACTGTTCTTGAGGGCTTCTACTGTATTCAAATAACTTTTGGGAGTTTTCTGAGGATCATCAGATGCATTTTTAAGGTCTGCTCACGTTTTTGGGAACTGGTGCTTCTCGGAGGAGGCAAAGTAACAGCAGCACTAGAGTGGCTGCGGGGAGTGGCTGTGCAGATTGCAGTAAAAGCAGGCCTGTTCTGAAGGCGGAGAGGCTCTTCCTTAAGGCATGTGTTGTTTAGAGACTTAAGTTGAAATCTAGGCTACCTCTTATTTTCAGAATTAAATTGTTTGCATTTTACAGCTTGGAGGGGGAAGACCAAAGAAGACCCTTGAATGGAATGAATGCTAGAGAAGTGAGCTAAATAGCTGCACCTCTTTAGCTAGTGTACAGAAAACAGGCACTAAATTATTACTTCGGGTGCTGTTATTTGTAAAATGGTGATGGCAACGCTTGCTTCAGAGGGCTGCAGCAGCGTTTGATTATCTGAGCAGCTGCCACTGTCTGATCCTTAGGTTAAGAAGGTACAATCATTGGTGAATGCTGTGTTAATGATAACACGTACAGTGATTTCTGTATCTTACTGTGAAACTGGAAGTGCTTCGAGATTTGAACTGTTGTTGATTAGAGTTTGACTTATTTTGGTAGCTTGATCTTTATCTTCGAGACAGAGACCAAATGTAATGTTTGAATTATCCTTTTTGCTTTCTGCCTCCAGTATCGGTCTATAAATCACCGTGTGGACTCTAAATCCCTATGGCTTTATCGATGGTATTACTCAAGAATTTGCCAGTGGTGAGAACTTGGTATTCTTTTTCCTTTTCTAGTTTAGAAGTAAGTTTTTGAAAATTTCTTCTTCCTCCCTGTTAATTAGATAATTGTATTTTTATCCTTTAAAGGACTTGTTCAAGGAAATAAATAGATGATTACATGTGCACATGGTAGAAGCAGGAAGTAACAAGACGTACAAAGATGCTATTGACATGAGTGGTGGATTTGCGGCATCACATGTTCAGATTTTTCAAGTTTCCATTTCTAACTATATTAAATAGCAATAAGATTGTATGCTGATGTTAGTTTCAAAAAGGGACACCACCGAATATTTGATTGTCAGCAGTGTTTATTTTAATGCAGACAGCAGCATGTTAAGTGCTGTATTGTGGGGTAAGCCATATATGTTAAATATAACATTACAAAAAGTGGTATTCTAACAAACTTGCCTTACTATAAATATTTCCTGTTATTTTTCTGTCTCATGTTTGTATGTGTGTATTATTATTTTTTTTTAATTTGTATCCAAACAGGATTTTGGGTTTAACCATTACTGTAATCCTGACTTTGGCTTTCATTGAAACACCTTCCTCACTTACTGTCACATCAGATATACGATATCGCCTTCCTGCATGGGATCCCCCATGTGGCCTAACAGAAAGCATTGAGCTGCTTTGCTTTCTTGTGTTCATGATTGATGTATCGGTGAAGGTGAGCGTCACTTTTATCTGGTATTGAAATACTAGGTGTGCTGGGCAACTGAGTAGAGATAGTCAGTGTGGATTTTTTTTTGTTTTTTTTTTTTCCTCTCTTTTATATATTGGGAAAAATGACTGAGAAGTGTTATTCAAGTTTTGGATTTGCATGATGAGGTTGCTTTGATATATCAAAGATTTACTTTCAGGAAAAATTAGGAAGTACTTTTTTTTAATTAAAAAATCTTCTGGTATTTCTTAGAAATATAAACTTCTGTTCACATGGAATCAATGATTTTGGCTTGGCTACTTGTATTAGACTATTAAAAATGCCTGCCATAATCAAATACGTGCCAGTTCATTAAAAAAGAAGAAACATTAGAATTTGAACTGTTCTCTGGGTACTTGTTTGTGAAAGATCTCTTGAGATCTCTTTTATTTTTTTACACGCAAAGGATTCTTCCCAAATGGGTTGTGTGCAGCTCTTGCTTCCATTGACCTTTATTTAGTTCCTGTAGGAAAGAAATATCTGATCAGTGTACGTTTATTCAGATTTCAGGGAGGTCTGTATAAGCAATGATGTAACTATAGATATTTGAAAAAGTATGAGTGCTGACTTTGTTATTGGAATTTATTATGAAAGTAAGTTTTGTTTTCCAGAGTTATTTAATTGGGTGGGAAGAATTTCGGAAAACTAAATGGCTGATGGCTTATATCCTGACGTTAATTGTTTCCCTTGCTGATTGGATTGTATCGCTGAGCTTTTTCTGCACAGAGGTAAGAACTGTCTTCCACTTGCTGTAGAAGCAATCGACAGGATAGCTATGGAGAGAGGCAGAGGAGGAGGAGCTGCAAGGGCATATTCACTAGGGCCTACGTGATGTGGTAGTGAATTCAAGTGGAGGGTGAAATGGCTCATTTATAGACTTTGATAGCTGGAGAATACACAGCATTTATCTGTAAAATTAAATAAAGCTTTGCTGTTATAAATAGCCTGTTAGCATTCAAAAAGTACAGAGAATCTGGTTGCATAGCAGAAACTTTGTCATACAGTTTGAGAGAATTACATTCTTAGCTTGATTGAACTGCAGAGTCTGAACATGTAAATGTAATGATAGTGATACCTAGATAAAAGGTAATGGTACAGTGTAACAACTACTTTCTAAGAAAAAGAGGTGTCGTGTTCAAAACAATTGTAAGTTTTAATGTCAAAGTCATTACCAGTGGCCTGCAGATATCTTTCATACCTTTGTCTAGGTTAACTGTGGTTAGGTTGGTTGCTGTTGCTACTGTTAATGATCCACTGTTCAGTTGTCCATGCTTCGGTGGTCACTGTTGACCAGGATGTGATACAGTGATAAGGAGATCATCTTAAAACGTTGAAAGAACGTGTCACTTAAGTTTATAAGCATCTAACTTGCTTTGAAAATATGAAAGTGTCCTTCTGGTATTCAAGCAAAATAGATACAATATGATTGAAAGGAGTTAACTAACTAGGCTGAAGGTTGTGTTTACAGAGTGGGGAATGTGTCTTGGAAAGAAGTGACCAAAAAAGCTTTCAGCATGATAGTGGGCAAATAGCTGAGCAGGACCTTCTAATACAAAGTGTGCCAGAAGGAGTATTTTAAACTGCTGGGATGTATGAACAAGGGAATAGTGAGGAAGAAAGTGATTTCTGCTGTTATACATGAACTTGGGAAGACTGATACCAAAATGCTGGATCCTAAAATACTTGAAGGTGCAAATGAGTCACAAATGATTTGAAGGCTGGAGGGAGCCTCTTCAGTGCAGGAATGGAACAGCTTAATTGCTTCACCTTATGCTAAGGAAAATTGAGATGATGACCTGTTTGATTCTTGTCAGAGGGAGGAAATACTGTGTAGTAAGAGGCCCTTTAGTCAAGAAAAGAAAAACAGAAGAAGGATGAATGACTGAAAACTGAAAAGGGACAAATTTCTCTTTAAAATTTGTATCTGTTTCGTTATTGAAAGTAGCTTGCTGGTGATTTCTTTCTTAAAATGATGCTTCACAGAATATATGAAATGCCATCTATTGACCTTCGTGTTGTATTTACACAGCAGTAAAGTTGAATTATTTATAATGAGTGGCCTGGTGAGACTATTAAAATTTCAATGTATGTTTTAAGGCAATCTCTTTCTTTTAGTTTCAAGCATCCCATACTTATAAAATCTCCTTTACTTTTTTGTATGACTTTAGTGGGACGAATTTAGCTTTTGAGCACAACTTCTCTATCACATTGTTAATTTTGTTCATATATATATCAGTATTTTAAGCAAACTTGCCTTAAAAAATATTTGTGATCCTAATCTTATAGGAACTCAATATTCAATCTGTTGGTCTGTTTCTGCAGAATGTGAGAATAAGAAGAATTCTTCGGCCTTTCTTTCTCCTTCAGAATTCTTCCATGATGAAGAAAACATTAAAGAGTATCAACAGCACTTTGCCTGAAATGGCAAGGTAGGTAATAGCATAGTAAACATCCTTTCACGGCAAGTGTCTAGTTACCCTCAGTATTCTGGAGTGTGAAATCTGAGCAAATTGATGGTCTGGCTGAGGGAAGTGGTTTGGTGAGATCTGGTGGTGATGGACTAGGGGTTGTGGAATCTTCTTGGCTCCTTAGTGTGTTCCATATTTCTCTAGAATACATTTGATATGACTTTGTTTACGTAACAGATGCTCTTTTTGATGCTAGTAGTGTGGGGTTTTTTTTGTAATTTTGCATGCGTTGCATACAGTCTTTATAAGAGGAAAAACTGAGGCATCAGCTAATCAAAGGTCTATGTTACGTTTCTCCAGTGCAGCCTCTCAGAGATGTGGGTGGGACACACATGTTCTTGTCCCCTGGTCATGAATGCTGAACAACAGAATGCTTCCTTATGCACATCTTCTATAGAGTACTTTAGTTCAGTGTTCGTTGCTAAATGGTATTAGCAATATGTACAATAAATCCTATTGTCTTATTAGAAATCTTGAACTGGAAATCCAGCAGGTGAAATCATAACCAGAGAGCGTGATACTTTTTGAAGGTGATCTCTTCCTGTGCATATAGATTATTTACATGTACAATTATAGAACTTCTGTCCTTACCTGTTACTTTTTTAACCAAGTCCCAGAGTAATCAAAGGTATATGCAAGCTGAGATGTTGTATCTTGATCAAAGACATAAACGTGGTCCTAGCTTTAGAAAAGCAGATACTGAATCTCGTTGACCTCACAGCTAAGGGGTCATGAAGGGGTTTGAGTTTTTCTTGTTTCTTTTTTCCCCTGAATCAAGACTTAAGATGATCCTCTGTTATCTCCATTTAGTTTCTTAAAAATACTATTGGGTTTTTGTATATGGTGTCCTTAGCATCTTTATGCGTGATATTAACGCATATGTTTTCTTTCCGATAGTGTTGTTCTGCTACTAGCTGTTCATCTGTCTCTCTTTACCATGTTTGCCATGCTGCTGTTTGCTCGAACAAAGGTAACCAGTTATATTTATGCTGTGGTAGATCTCAGTGGTTTTTTTTTTTTCTCATGTAGCTGCTGTATGTGTGGTTTTCTAATCAGACTGGTGAAACTTGTTTTCCCTGAAGAGGTCATGTTACCTCATCAGACTTACTGGGATCAATTTAAAGTCTGTTTAGAAAGTTTAAAGTGCGCATGTTGCCAATGCGTAGTGCTGTTTATGTAGGTATGCATTAGAAGACCCCTCAAAATAGTGTTATAATCTGTTCATCCTTTGACTAAGAATGTTTTCCAGACTGCACCTTGTTTCTA